GTGATGCGTTCATATACTCACACGTATATAGGGTTCTGTAGTTTGTGTGTCCGTGATGCGTTCTGTGAAGTAGAATGCTCTGCTATGTGGACGTTGTGTAGACATCACATTAAGATACGATAGGAGCCCTCTTCTTGCTGTCTTTTGCTGCTACTGGATGGAATGACCAGGTGAAGACTTGGAGACGGGGTGGCGCGGGCAGCAGCAGTAATTGAGAGAGGGCAGTTGTGGGAGGGAAGCAAAAGGACGTGAGTAGGGAGTGGCCAGCGTCACCCAACCCAGCCTTGTTGTTCCACACCTGGCTGAGCAGCAGAAGCAACCCAGGCCTTAGGTTCACTGCCCACCAGACAAAATCCTGAGGGCCCACGTCCAGCGTCATGCCCTCTGCCTCACCTGTATCTGCTCTCTTGCCCAGGGCTGTCAGACTCTGGGTTTGAAGTTTTCAAAACCATTAGGGGAATTAAAGGAGAGCTGCCTTTCTTTTGGTATGAGACCACTGACGTATATGCGTCTGGACCTTGCCTGAACAGATGTTGAACAATGCATGCCTGTACCTGTTTTCTCCATTGACTAGAGATAATAGTTGAAGCCAAGTGAAGGGTGAGTGGAGCCTTGACCTCCCCACTCTAGTTCTGCTTTACATGTAAACACTTTTCAGACAATACATGGTTTAGATTGTAGAGTTCTTGTGCTATTGTACAACTAGATCACACACTTCACACGTGCATAGGCTTGGTGCCTTCTCTGCAGATGCTTAAAGTATACAAAATCCTTTTGCAAAGATGGCTTAACAAAGAAGGGCATCTCTGAGCCAAGCTTTCGTTTTCTGAGTCTGACAAGGAATAGTGTTTGGAATGAGGTGCGTATTAGTGATTTACAAGGGCTTCAAATAAGCACAATTTTTGATTCAAAAAACAAGTATTCTTTTGGGACAATGCTGTTTTAACTTGGCTTATACCAGACTTTTAAAGATTTGTCCTTTTTGGAAACGTTCTAGCTGTATGGTGCACTAACCTAATTTTCTAGTACAGCTCACACTGTTAGCATTTTTGTGGCTTTGAAAGTGCCTTTCATGTAGTGCTAAGGTGGACAGTTGACATCTTAGGAGAGAAGACGAGGCTGCCCACTCTAATAAAGATGGACAGCCTTGGAAACCCACGTAGGGTTTGTATCGTTCAGAAGCAAGCTGCTGGCAGTGATTATGAGAAAGATAACTTTTGTAATTTCTTTTTTTTTTTTTTTGCATCTAAAGATAATGTATCTTACACATACCCAGTGTAAAATGGACCTTGCATTAGGAAGCAGCATCATTAGAAGTAATTATTATATACTTTATGATGGCATTTTCATGCCTAGGAAATAAAAACTGAATTGATTTTTCTTCGCGCTGCCCACCCCCCCCATACTTGCTACTACTTTTACATATATATTCAGCTAATCATAATCTAGATTCATTGAATTTTTTTGTGTTACATTTTATTTTCTAGGCAACAGCTGAAGCTAATAATCTTGCTGCAGTAGCAGGAGCAAAAGATGTCTATAGCAAAGCCATGGAAGAGGTTTGTAATTAAATTTAAACTAGACTCTAGGGCGAGGTATCCCATTTTCTGTGTTTAAAATAAAGTAATGAAACTAATTTGTTCTTATATATTGTCATGGGATGCCTGATAGTGCATTGGTTATTTGCCCCACTGCTAATTGAGACATAGCTGTGGTTCGAATCCACCAGCCACTCTGCTGGAGAAAGACGTGGCAGTCTGCTTCAGTAGAGATTGAGGACTGATGCTGTCAACTGGTTGTGTCATGGCCAATGAAGTGAAGCTGGAAGAGCCTCACATTTGGGTAATTTGGAGCAGACGGAATGGCAGATTGAAGCTGTGCATTGAGCCTTTTCAGCAGCGTGATGCAGGACATTGCCAGGGCTGGGGAGAGTTGCATACTGGCTGACGCAGCATCGTCAGCTGCCAGCTTTGAGTTGTACTCAGCTGTTTTTGACTCAGCCGGTTAAAAGATGTGCTTGCTGTGCACTGCCCACATGCCCATGCCTTCTAAGAAAGATTTAGGTTCCTAGCATGGTTTCAACCATAGCTATTGGCATTACCAGTTCACTCACCTTTTAAAAATTTTAAGTCCATTCTGAAGTTGCTTCATTGGTCATGACTGAACCAAGCCAAAATGATTCTAAGTCCTGTTGGAAACTTTATGGAGCAATACTACTATATTGGGGCCCTGTGAATTGAAATCAACTCAGTGGCAAGCAATTAAAATTTTTTTAAATGTGTGTCATATTATCTGTTGTCATGTTGATTCTGACTGTAATCAAGTCTGTAGGACAGTGACAAGCTGGCCTTAAGCGGTCCCCAGGCCATATGCCTTACAGATATTGGCTGCCACCTCTTCCTCAACCAGAGCAGCTGGCGGCTTCCAACCTCTAACCTTTGTGGTTAGCAGTCCATTGTTTTACCTGCTGGACCAAGAGGTCTTCTCACTGGCACATGTAGCATCCCTGATGCCTTTTCATCATCTTTACTAGAAACGAACTATATTTCAAAAGCATTTACATGGCTAGAATGTAGCATAAAGAGAAAGTATTACATAAGCTATTGAATTATTTTCTGACTCTGGATTCAGTGTGCTGCTTTTCATAGTTCTTTGATGTGCATCACATTAGTTTCAGGCTAGTAACAGTTTCTGTGCTGTGCTTGCTCACCCAGACATTAAAATACCTGGGTAGTGTGTTATATTTTCCACACTCGTTCGGTACGTTGTACTGGTGGGCTGAATGATGGGTCAGAGACACAGTGCAGCGTAGATTTTATTTGGTTTTCAGTCTTTACTGCTACTGGTCGCGCTTGGAAAATTATTTTACCGTATTCAGTTAAACATATGAAGAATACACAGAGTATGATGGTGCCTGAGATATAAACAAAGCAACTTTATAGAGCTAAAAATAAAATGTAAATAGGGAACTTGTCTCAAGTGGTACTTATCTCTAACATGGTATCTGCTCTGCTGTAATTCTCCCTCTAGATATGCGGTGGGGACAAGCCTTACATCGCACCTTCAGATCTGGAGCGAAAACACTTGGAGCTCAAGGAAATGGCGATTAAACAGTTTCGTTCTGTCAAAAAAATGGGTGGAAATGACTTCTGCCTTAATTATCAGAACAAGCTGGAGGCGGAAATTGAAGAAACCTATGCAAATTTTTTAAAGCACAACGAAGGCAAAAATATCTTCCAGGCTGCTCGTACCCCTGCCACGCTGCTTGCGGTCGTGTTTGCTATGCATGTAATCTCAGGACTGATGGGCTTCGTTGGCTTGTCCTCTATAGCCATCCTGTGTAACCTGGTCATGGGCTTATCACTGATAACTCTTTCTGGTTGGGTATATGTTAAATACTCTGGGGAGTTCAGAGAAGTTGGAATAATGATCGATCAGATTGCCGCAACACTATGGGAACAGGTTGGTATTTTACCATTCTGTTTTTGTCACTAATCTCAACTTCCCTGTATTTTTTTCCTTCCAGCAGTATTTGCACTTTTAACTTTTCTTTTATGTGAGGAATAACAAAAGGACGATTTCTGTTTTGCTTGGATGTATAATCTAAATGTAGAGTGTGAATGGCATTTGTGTGTGTGTGTACTTTAATGTATTGTTTAGTTTAAATTGGTAATATCCTTTGAATAACTTCCCAGTTGTAGGCATGATCATACCTTGCAGTGGACAGGCCAGAGTCTCTAAAGGTCATGACGGTAAGGAAAAGAAGCCGAGTACTCAGCACATGTAGGAAAGCAAAAGCAGTTTCCTACAAATACTGGAGAGAAGCAGTGCACTCTCACTGCCCAGGAAAACCGTAGACAGATCTGCGCCATCTATATGAAGACATCGGATGTGCTACCAGAACGATCCTCACAGGGGTTTCTTGAAACGAACGAGTTTGGCTTCTGGGCTTTGGAAATACTAATGAAGAAGCAAAGCTTCACAAGTAGAGAATCAACTTCAGTAATGATCTTTTACCTCAAACCCGTATTCAAAGTCAGGCTGTGCATTCTTTCCCTGGCAAGTGTCTACTGAGGAAGCCAATTCCAGCTGTGCTGGAATTGCCTACATGCGGAACTTTCCAATTAAGGATACTCACAAGACCGTGTGAGATGCTTGACCATCTGCAAGGACCAGAGTAGAAGCCAAAATTATTCCTGTTGGACAGTAAGATAGCATTTTCAGATCTAGGCTATGAAAACCCATGCTTGGCTGTAAGTTGATGAAAGACCAGAGAAGTAAACCATAATTTGAAGAGAGTCTATTTGATGTTGACTTCTGTTGTGGTAATAACATTGGTTTATAAAACGACCCACTGTGTTTATTTGAATATTGTTTTATAGAGAAAGGCTCTCCATTAAGATCTGATTTGGAAGTGCATTGTGTGGACATACAATGGCAATTTGTGTAAATTTTAATCTCTTGATAAGGCTCAGATGTTCCTTTGATATCTCCAAATAGAAGATGGTTAAAAACTATCACAGCCTCTTTTAAAAAGCATCATTTACTTGAAAGTTTGAGCTCCTCATTTTCTATTACACAACTTTCAATGTTTTTGCAGTGGATTCTTTTGAAAACTATCCATCTCTGCACAAGGTTGATTCTAGAATTTTAGGTGCCATTGTTACAAAAGATGAAACAATGCAACTGTAAACTTATTGTCAGTATTGTTGAAGTCAGATGGTCACTAGTCAGAGAAACGCTGCTGTGTCAACAAACCTTGTCTAAAATTTTCTGCCTTTTTCTTTTCCTTTGCTTCAGAGGAGTCCCAGGAAGGTGAGAAACCTGCTAGTCTCAAATTGTTGTAGCCTTAAGCTCTTTACCTGGGAGGCACTCTGAGCCACTCTCCTAACGAATCACTCCATGTTTTAGGTGTTTTCCAAACTGTTTGAAGTCACTAGACGTCGAATGAGTCATCGTGCTCTCTCATCAGCACAGCGACAGAGACTGTCATCCAACAATAACAAGAAGACAAATTAGACAGTATTTTTAACTTTTTCTCTCTATCTGAAGTGTTCACACTTATACATGTAGGACGATAAGCAGGACCGTGGGCCGGTCTGCGTACATGCTGTGTACGTACCAGCCTTGATGCTGCACAGAGGGTATGGAATTGCACATCCATCTCATAGGAGTTGTAAATGGCTTGAATAGGTGGAAAGTAGCTCTTGTTGCGTTATAAATGGTCTAACTGCATTATTTGTAGCACCATAACTTTTGGGAGAAGCATCTTTTTTATTTTCCACATTTCTGGTTATTTTCTTCATTGCTTTGACTTGAATTTTTATATCTATTTTTATATGTACCTTTTTTTACCTCATGCTTTTTGTTTGTTTTGCACATTTCTCATGCCACAGGTATTCAAGCCCCTGGGTGATAATTTGATGAAGGAAAACATAAAGCAGTCTGTAACTCAGTCTATCAAAGCAGGCCTGACTGACCAGTCTCAGCAAGACAGATTAAAGGCAGACTGACAGTTCATCTCCTCTTGGACTCTGCTTCCTCTTTTTTTTTTTTTCTCCCCATGCTTGCTGTACAACGAGAACTCAAATAATAAACCAAAGTTTACAATCAACTGTAGAAGTAGTTTATAGTCGAACTGGCTTCACAGATGGCTGCCACAGAGTGTGAAAATTGTTTGTTGGTTTTAAGCATTCTTTTCATTGGCTCCTAAGACGTGAGATTGGCTGCGGAGCGTTGGCTATCATGCACATTTGTGCCATGTTTAATTCTCTCCCCCGCCCCCCCCTTTTTCCTTTTTACTTAATCTAATGTTAGTGAAATTTGTCTTATGTCAAAGGATATTTCAGGGAAATATTTTAAGAAATATGTTTAGTGTCTAATACTGTGTCCCGTTGGAATTCTGAGTTTTTAGAGAAGTTACGAATCACTGTATTAAGAGTTGGGTTGGGGTGACAATGAAGCCTTTCTTGAGCCACCACATTCAAAGTAGCTGTTGCTTTACTGCCTCCGACCCCAGTATTATGTCAATGCACGTAACAGAAACGTCACGGGAATTACCTGACCACTGTTGTTGCTGAGAAAGTGATTCTGAGGCGTACATTTGTCTTGCCTTTTAACATTTATAAACCTGCCCTAACCACTGTTGTTGCTAAGAAAGTGACTCTGAGGTGTACATTTGTCTTGCCTTTTAGTAATTCTAACCCTGCCCTAAAAGGAGATGCATATCTGTGAAACTGAACTGTCTTTTTGCAGTGTAGCCTTCATGTACATAAAAATGCCATTCATTTAACTGGGCGAGAAATTCCATCCAAAAATGTTGCCTACAGCTCCGAGTTGAATTGAGAGTGTCTACATTGTGTTTTTTTTTTTTCCTTTTTAAAAATCACAGATAGGGCATGTATATGAATTATAAATATATAAATACGATTTTGTATCAAAAGTTTTGTAGTTTCTGGCAAAATCTGGTTCTGTGGTAGGGTAATAAGTACAGTCCCCGTGAAGGAATGTTTGTGGCTCATGTCAGTGTGTGAATGCATAGACAATTTAAAGTTTTTGATAAATTTGTGATATTTATCTTCCGTGAGTATTGCAATCTCACCCCCTAGCCCTCCAAGGGAATTCAATCGGAATGTTTGTTGTGGAATTTTGTCCTCTGTTGCGTTTTAAAGTTATTTCCTGTAATTTATTTTCAGTACATAATTAAAAAGATTGTTGTATATATAAATGAAACCTGTGATTATTTTTAAAGAACTCATTGAAGTATGTGTGCCACTACATAAACCGTATTAGTTTCTACTGCAAAGAGCATGAGCAGGAAGCACCCAGTGAATGCGCGAAGGTATTGCACCCGAAAGCTGAGCCTACCACAGCTTCAGTCTCTCTCTCTCTCTCTCT